ACCCCCGTTACATTGTTCTTAATAACTAGGGGATTACAGATGACATTGCTCACGATGTGACTGGCGCTGTAAGCCGGTCCTGTGATATTCTTCCTAATATCCAGATAAGGAGAGAAAAATGTTGCTGCCCATAGAGAAATATTCTGAATACTGCAAGAGATGTACACCGTGCTCTGATATGGTCACTAATGTAAACAAGAAAACAATTATATTGAATTAAACATTGCAAGGGGTGAAACCCTCCTATGCTTTCAATTCTAATGTCAATGGGGTGAGGATGACATTTTTGTCAATATGCCAAATGTGTAACTACAACTATTGCCTAATATGTAAAGAACCACAATAACATTATCATTTCTGTGTGATAGGTTTGCCAGTATCATATTACACCACATTTTCAAAATAGCCGGGCCCCAGCAGCTGTACCCACAGCCCCCTAGCCAGGGGGTCTTTAAGCAGCCAGGGGTGGGCATTGAGGCTGCTACGAGCAGAACTGTAGTGATAGCCTGCTGTGCATAGGCATGTAGTTTGCACCTATTTCTGCATGTGTACATTGTTTAAATAGTAGGCACATATTTGTATACGTGTACATACAGTGTTATCATGATACATATATATTTTCATAATATGTGCACTATACATATGTACCTAATACATACCTAATGTGTACAATACGTACTTTTGGTGATATTACACGACATATATGTATTAGTGTGATTATAGATCTTACTGTGATTATATATATTTTATCACTGATATTTTAAGGAATGTGCATAGTGCACACATTATGGACCTATGCATTGTGTACACATTATAGAAATATATAGGTACATATTTTACAGATTATGTACATTTTTTGTACATGTGCATTGTGTACACCTATGTACAGCAGAGTACATGTACAGATTGTGCCTATTTAATACATTTATCACAATACGACAATAAATGTACACACTATGACTACATTCTGGGATTTTATATTTAGTATATTAGATAGAAATCTCTCCGGTTACTCTCCGGTTACCAAAGTGGGTATACACCTATATGTGTACCTAGTATATACGTGTACATATTGTACATACTGTGTACTCCTGTACAGAAGGTACATATCTTCATTATATGAACATATGTGTAGTGTACATATGTACATACTGTGCACTTACGTACACGTGTATATACCGCAAATCTGCACGTGTGCATGATGTACATGTGTACATATCGTAATATCACAATAAATGTAATGTATATAATGTGTGCAATATGTACATTATATTGATATCATGTATTATATGTGTATTGAAATCATTGTATTACAATATATTTACATATTGTACACATTATGTACATACCTACTGTGTACACATTATGTACATATAAATGTAATATTGTACAGATTATGTACATTTTTTGTACATCTGTATTGTGTACTACATATGTACATCACAGTCAATGTACATAAGGTACATATTTTGTACGTTGATTGTAATATCCCAATAAGTGTACACATTATGAGTATATTCTGGGATATGATTTATAGTATATAAGAAAAAAGTTACTTCCAATATCAATGTGGGTATACTCGCATGTGTGTCCATTTTGCTGTACCTTCTATTAATCTTTGCCATTGAACATGATAGTGAGAGGTGGTTCTTTTCTCTAACAAGGTTTTCTGTTAATATAACTCAACTCTACTACCTTGTGGCCTCTGTATCTTCCATTGTAAATTGTAATTACCTATAAAAGAGAATATTTTGACATCACGTATCTACCTCTTGGCATCAGCCAGAGGCCTAAAATAAAAAGACATTCACCCCACGAATGGTTATATAGTGGTTGACAACCCCACTTTCTTCTAGGTAAATAATATCCTCTCTTTAACAGTAGCTACTTACAAGATTTGTGCATAAAGAATGTGACTTTTTTATCAGTATCTAGTTTATTCTTACATAAATTTCTAAAATACTGAGAGAATATTCTGATCATTGGTTATATACTATTTTAATTTAATTTTTTCCTCTCAAATTTTATCTTAACTGCATACTCTACCCTGTTTATAAGACTGCCCTATGGTTAAATTTAGTAGGTAGTAAATTATCCTGAGCACACAGAACAATTCTTTTTGTAATCAACTCTGAAACATCATAGAAAGAGCAAGGATATGGGAATGAGATTTATCTGGCTTTTATTTCTGGTACTTACTTTCTCTCTGACCTTGGGCAACTTATGTATTGCTCTGAGTCTCATCTTCTTCATCTGTAAAATGATCATAGTAATGGAAATGTGTAATTTAGTGATTGATATAAAGTTCCTGATACAATTTCTGACAAAATAATAGACACCCCACGAGAGATAACCATAACAATCAGAGTTTATATTCACATTAACTGGGATAAAATTGATCTGAAAATACAGCATAAAAAAGCAGCCAAAAATTCACAAGCATATATTTCGCTTGCCTTTTTATACAGAGCTGGAAAATTTCTCATCATTATCTCATCCATTGCCTGCAGCACGATCCTTCCAAACTCCTCCTAAGACCGTCTGCCAAGGTGGAACACACTGAACCGCATGTGACTCTGCCTTTTCTGACTATTTTTGCAAGATTTTTCTCATAGAGTATTATTAACAGAAATGGGGCTGTTATCAAGGTGACTAGGAATGGTGCATTCTCAGTTCAGGCTCTGATGGAATGTCTACTTGATCTGGTGCAACTCCAGCTGTGCTCTTGGCTTTCCTCACTTTTGTGGTTCCGTCTCCCATGGCTTCCTTATTTTGTCTTTCTCCATGAGGTCTCATTCAAGTATAAACATTCCCTTCAATTTTCTCAACTCATTTTATATTGTCTGAATAACCTTGATAATTTTCCCTTTCCTAAAGCTATAGACCTTCTTTTTGTGTGTAAGAACAGATTACTCACAAATGTTTACTGTCCGCTAAACATTTATGTGTAATCGGTCCTTAATTCTACACACAAAATATCATCTCTACCAACATTTTACAACTATAGTCTTTCTATAGAGAACTATGAAAGGAACTTGCTCTAAAGGAGAAACTTCCAGAGCTAAACCAAGGGTCTGACAATTGTTAACAATATGTTATTCAGTAAAAATATTTTTTTCAGTTAACAGAGAAGAATGCCATGGACAAAATGGCAAAACAGAACTTTTCAGCACTTATTCCTTCACAGAAACATCAATTTGAACAGCCATCCGTGCATCAAAGTGTCTTCAAAAGAGACAAGAGGTTATAGCACGTTTGTGGAGTAGAAAAGTAAGAAAAACGGCATAAAATAGAGTCATAAAGAGAGTTTTCTATTATCTGCATTACCCCGCCCCTAAACCTGGGTAGTGCAGCATGGAAAGAGATACCATGTATGTGCAGAGAGGAGAGTAAATGTAACACCTGACTTCAACATCAACTCCAATGCCAGGCACAATTCAGTGAACTCAACACCAGGCAGGTTTCTATAGCCACAGGCTATGGGACAGACCCTGTCAACCCAAGCTCCAGGCCTTCCCCTATGGCTCTAAGATCTAATGCCTCCAACCTCCATGGCTCCTATCGACATAGGCTCCAGGCCTTCGCCACAACCAGGCCATTTATGGCTTCCCCAGGCTCCACACTGGTTACTATAGACTCGTAAGTGCCTGGATAAACAAACCTCTACATCGATACAGTGGAATATTATTCAGCAATGAAAGCAATAATCTTTGAATGTGGCTTTTGTTCACGCGAGCTATGAAGCCATTAAAAGACATAGAGGAAACTCAAATACATACTACTAAGTGAAAGAAACCAATCTCAAATGACCACTTACTATATGAATCCAACTATATGACATTCTGGAAAAGGCAAAACTATAGAGACATCAAAACGTTCAGTGATTGCTGGGGGTTGAAAAGTGGGGAAGGATAAATGGGCAGAGCATAGAGGATGTTAGGGCAATGAAACTACTCTGTGTGTTACTATAATGGTAGACACATGCCATTACACCCTTGTCAAAACTCACTGAATATACGACAGCAAGAATGGTCCCTAATGTCAATTATAAACTATGGGTGACAGTGATAAGTCAATGTTGGTTGATCCATTGTAACAAATGTACCTCTCTAGTGAGGAAGGCTGATAGTGGAGGAGGCTGTGCATTTGGGGAGGTGGGAATGTAGGAACTCTCTGTACTTTCCACTATGCCTGACTATTCACTTTACACTGCTCTATTTTAAAAAAGATTGAGCTGTTTATATAAGCCCAATGTCTACTTTGACATCCAGAAATGTTTCTTTTAAAACGCTAATACACCACTTCCTGGAAGAAAATATTTGTTAACAAATTCTTTTCTAGAACAATTATTTTTGTGGGTGTTCCTGTCACAACTATACATAAAAATCAGAATATGCAGCAACATCTTGATACTCTAAAAACACAATACCAAGAACGTTAAGAAAATCATTTCTAAATTTGATCTAAGCCAAAATGTGGAGAAGCAAAAGGGAAGAAAATTATTTCTGTATAATGAGATTATAGGTTGTTTCTCCGAACTCCTCTACAGTTTTCAGTATTTTCCAACTTCTATCATGGAGATATATAAATATAGAAGTAGATATGTAGATATATAGTCATTAGATATATATTTATATATAATAAATGAACAGATACCGTTTTTATTTTTTATTATTTATTTATTTTTTGAGACGGAGTTTCGCTCTTGGCCGCGATCTTGGGTCACCACAACCTCCATCTCCTGGGTTCAGGCAATTCTCCTGCCTCAGCCTCCTGAGTAGCTGGGATTACAGGCAGGCGCCACCAAGCCCAGCTAATTTTTTGTATTTTTAGTAGAGAGGGGTTTCACCATGTTGACCAGGATGGTCTCGATCTCTTGACCTCGTGATCCACCCGCCTCGGCCTCCCAAAGTGCTGGGATTACAGGCTTGAGCCACTGCGCCCGGCCTACAGATACCATTTTTAAAGATATATTTATGTATTTATATATTATATAATATATACATGTGATATACATCATGTTATCACCATTATGGATATAAAGAAGGACATTAAAATAGTGAAAAGATTAAAATAAAATGTACCAAAATGGAAACAGTGATTTAACTCTGCCTAGCTTTATGTGATTAAACAAGGTATTTTTCAAATCTATTTTTCTTTGCTTTCTAGAGGCTTTATAATAAATCTATTTTTATATTTAAAAGCCTAATTTTTATTAAACAAATAAAAATTCAGCAACACTGTCTTTAGAACATTTTTTAAATCAACTTGAGCATGAAGAACATGTTATGACTATGGTGGTGAGCATTTTGAAAGATTAGCAGAAGCAGGGATAATGTGACATTTAGCTGATCTTTCAAGGGAAGCTAGACAAATGACACTTTTCGAAAAGAAAATAGTAACTAGTGTTGAAACATGGTATCGCCAGTATGATTAAGAAGGAAAGTGTCAACTTCTTCTGTGGAAAATCCTAACATTACCAAACGTAAGAAGGCAAATACTTCAACAACAGAAATGAAAAAGATCTTGATTCATTTATTTAACACTTTTTTAGAGTTTAATCCCAAAAAGTCTATTTTGAAGAAAAGAAAAAATCTTACTCGTGTATATTACCCTTTGCAGTGAACTGGCCAAATAAGTCTATCCAAGGTACGTTGAATACCGAGCATGCTGGAAACATTTTTATTGCATCTCTAATCCCTACAACAATAGTGCAAGGAAAGGTTTAACATCTTCTTTTTACAGAGAGGAAAGCTGAGGCTCAAAGAGGTATAGTAGCTCATTTAACATTACACATCCAATACGTGGTGGAGGTGGGACCTATACTTACATCTGTCAGACCTTAAAGTCTGTGTTCTTCTTTCTACCTCTCTGCCTCAGTCCAACAATTGGGATCTTTGCCATGATGCCTCACGAGTTCACAGGCACTTTTCAGGAAGTTTTTGACTCAGACTTTATCACTCAGCAAGATACCTCAACTAATTTACAAAATGTGACTTGAAAAGCAGGTTGTAATTCCAAAAGCAAAAATCCAACCACAAAAGATAAAGTCTTAATCAGTAGAGCTTTACAGAAGGAAGTAATGTAGGTAGTAAGGGCACTTTCGGAAATGTCTGGAATCAGAGGAGTCGATGTATCACCTGTTAGAAATTGTACTCGCTTGGTAGCAAAATTTTCCTTGTGTTAAAATAATAGTCTTGTTGTTTTAAAATCAACGCACAGTCAGAGGGTGACTTGGATGTTTATTTTTATTCTCTTTGCCTTCTTGTTTTAAGAATGGATTTTTCCTAAATTCTAATTATTATTGTAACTTACATAAGTGCAGCCGATTTTGCTTTTAAGGATAAAACTACATTTAAGTAGCTTTGTCTGGATTATCAAAACCAGGCCCTGAAGAAGTGAGTTCCTAAAGGGTAGGAACTTTGCTTATGTCTATATCTCAGTTGTGTTAAACAGAATAACTGGCGCAAATTAGCAAATGATGCACTGAGGAATCATAGAACAAAAGACTTTATGAAGAACTAAGTTTCAGATTCAGGGTGACGCTAAGGAGCTAGTGTACCAGAGGATGGTATGCCTTCTGCAATCACAAAAGCAGCATTCAGTCTGATCTGGGCTCTAAGAAGTGCTCCTTGAGACCTGACATTTTATCCTAACACTGCCACTAACAGGTTAAGTCATCCCAGAGCTTTCGATTTCTGGTTTCCAAATCAGCACAATGAGAAACTGAAAAGAAGGAAAGAGGAAAAAAAGAGAGGGTCAGAGATCCCTCCTGCTTGTACAATGCCATGATTTGGACACAGGGTTTGGGCAACCATGGCCCATCCACCAATTCCTGCCTGTTGTCTCTTGTCAGACAGCTCATGAGCCACGAATGTGAAAGAATTCAAAAAAGTAACAATATCTTGGGACATGTCAACAATTATATAAAATGCAATTTTCAGTTCTCATAAAAGTACTTTGGAACTCAGCCCCACTCCTTTATTACCCATTTCTATGGCTGCTTTCACACCACAACCGCAGAGATAAGTAGCTGTGACAGAGACCATATGGGCTGCCAAGCCTAAAATATTTACTGCCTAGACCTTTCCAGAAAAAAAAAAAAAGGATTGCTGATCTTTTACACAGACAATCAAGCAAGCGATCACCTGAGAACATTAAAATATGTGTGGACAAATGGGGCCTATAAAAACTAGGGAATAATCTTCCCCACTACTTATGCAAGAACATTCACCCTTGAGAGAGAAGGCTACATGGCTTGGCAACACTACTGCCACCAGTCCAGACTTCCCCTCACCTGTGCCCTATAAGTGACCAGCATTTCTAGGCATTCGTGGAGCAGCGGGGTGCATTCTCATGGCTGGCCCCACACCTTCCCTTCCTCCTGCTTCCTCACATTCTATTTTCTGAGTGGTTGTCAAAGGAACGCTGAATTTTGCTGTCACTTTTTCAGACCCCAATTCCACTTATGACAGTCTTGGTACCAGGAAGCATTCCGAGCTCCTATCTCATCACCACAACCGCCTGCTTCTCACTTAGTCCAGACGAGCTTGCCACAGTGCACTTGCTTTTTAATCGCCCTCTCTCTTCTTGCCTTCACCTCCTCTCCCTCCCTCTCTCCCTGGCTCTTTCTGTCACACGGGTGTGTGCACATACACAAGTTCCGAAAAAGAAGAAACACTTTTTAAGTTTCTTTCTAGGCCTAATAGAAAATTCTTTTTTTTTTTTTTTTTTACATAAATAGAGCTGTTTTTTTCCATTGCAAAAGTGTGGGTGTCCTTCCTTTTGGAGAGTAACAATCATTTTCTACATGGCCTTCTGACACATTGCATGTTCTACATATGTGTGTGTGCACATGTGCATATGAGTGTTAGAGTGTGTGTGTGTAGCAGGGAGGAAAGAGATGAAGGAGAGTGTGTATGTGCATGTTGGTTCATATGAGTGTGAGTGTATGCATGAACGTGCCTGTGTGTGTGCACATGTGTATGAGCATGCTTGTATTTGCGTATGAGAATGTGCATGTGAGAGAGAAAGAAAGAATGCATGTATGTGTGAATGTGTATGTGTGTGCATAGCAGGGAAGAAGGGGATGAAGGAGAGTATGCTAAAAAGAGAACACCTCAGAACAGTCCAATAAAAGATTCCATATCAACATCATAAAATACAGGATTCCCAAGTCAGTCACCTTCAAGCTGGAAGCCTGGAGTGTAAAAAGAGTGGGTGTTCTTCTCTGACAACTTATTGTCTAAGACGATTTTATGATCAAAAATATATTCGAATAAAAGTACCTGAGAAAAATACATAAAGAGAATATAGAAAAATGTTAACAATGGTTTTCTTTGGGTGAGAGGAAGAAGAGGCAGGTTGTGGTTGATCTGTTTCTTTTAGTTCAACTATTCTGCATTCCTCACTTTTAAATTTTGGATATTAAGCTGGAGAGAAAGAACATGAATATAAAGATGAATTCGCTGAATGGAGCAACGAATGCTGAGTTAGCCAAAAATGTATGGCTACCTTCTATATCTAATTATCTGAGGGGAAATCAGAAAACACCACTTTCAGAATTTTTTTTTTTTTTTTTTAAGAAATGAAGTTTCGCTCTTGTTGCCCAAGCTGGAGTGCAATGGCACAATCTCAGCTCACCGCAGCCTTCAGGCAATTCTCCTTCCTCAGCCTCCCGAGTAGCTGGGATTACAGGCACGCACCACCATGCCCAGCTAATTTTTTGTATTTTTAGCAGAGACAGGGTTTCACAATGTTGACCAGGATGGTCTCGATCTCTTGATCTTGTGATCCACCCACCTCGGCCTCCCAAAGTGCTGGGATTACAGGCTTGAGCCACCACGTCCAGCCAGAAATTTTTAAAATGTGTTTTACGTTATTTTCCCTTTCAGCCTATGGACTAAATATTGAACACAACTGGATCTGCGCCATTGCCTCAAAGATTCTTAGCCTAGTTCCAGATCTATTGTCTGGACACTCCTGCTTTTTAGACAGAAAACAGGGCTAAATTCCTATTGACTTCCAAATACACAGACCCACAGATTTGTCACAGTAGCCTCTCTCTCTCACCCTGTCTCTGTCCGTCTGAGTCTCTCTTTCTTTCTCTCTCTCTTCCCTCACATCATCCCCAAATCAGTATATAAAATTTGATTAACTGAAACATAGAATGATCAAGATTTTACTACAAGAGAAATACACAGACTTCAGCTAAGATGTTTGGTTGAATACCTGCATATGCCTTCACTCCATCATTAAACCACATTAACACGGGATGATTAAAAATAAATAAACCAACAAAGATAAAAAGAAAATAAAGACAATCCCTTCAGCATATAGAAAACTGGCAAGCAGAAGCTGTCAGTGACACCTGACAGTAGACCCAGAGATGCTAAATCCCAAGCCAGTGGCAGGAAGGCAACCAGGATCCCCAAGGGTTCAAGAGTTGGCAGCTAAATTTACCTAGGGAATTTATGTTTCAGTAGTAGGTAGATCCCACATCCTCTCCCTAGAATCGGTGCCTGCATCCCACGGTGGTGGCAGGGTGGAGGTTTCCTCTCTATACAGTAAAATTTGGTGTCTCTAGGCAGGAGCTCTCTAGACACAAGTGCTTAAATGTACACACTGAACACTCTCCAGGTTTTCCTACCACTGAGTTCCAATGAGGGTGGCAGATACACTTGGTCAGAAGTTAAGATGATTTTTCTCTGGAGAGAATCTCTCTTGCTCAAGAAGAAAAGGTCTGACCCAGCAAGACCACCCCCCACAAAATGTTACAATCACAGCACTTCCATCAGCTTTTAGCTTTTCAGTGCTCCATTTTTTTCTAACAGACACAGACAGCTACGGGTCACCAGGCATCTGAGCAAAGCTTCTAACATGAATGGCCGAGACCAGAGCAAGAAGACACATAAATGCAGCCTGAATGAGGACTGTGCTAGGAGATAAGACCTTCTGAAACCCATATGAATGTTCACGAAGAGATAAAAGTGTTACCATTTTCATGAAACAAGAACCAAATTTAAAGAAAAAGTAAACGCTTAGAAATTAAAAATATGACAGCAGAACTTGTGAAAAATTCTTGTTAGAATATTAAGACAACAAAGTTGAGTAGATGAACCTTATGTAATAGCGATAAGAAAAAAGTTGAAATCCGGAAGAAAATTTGAACAGGTTCAACACTAAAATGATCAGAATTCCAAAGATAGAAATAGAGACAGACAGAGAGAGAGAAAAAAGAACAGACACACGCAGCAAATAAGAAAGAGAGAGATAAACCCTAACACAGTAATTGCTGGAGACTACAACACCCAACTTTCAGCACTGGACAGATCTTCCAGACAGAAAACCAACCAATCAACATGAAATTTAATCTTTACTACAGACCAAATGGAACTGATATTCAAGGAACATTTCATCCAATGACTGCAGAATACACATTTTTTCAACTCAACACATAGATCATTCATAAGTATAGAAGATACCTTAGGTCACAAAGCAGATGCAATCACATTTGAAATCAGGACTAAGAAATTCATTCAAAACCATACACTTACATGGAAACTGAGTAACTTGCTCCTGAATGACTCCTGGGTAAATAATGACATTAAGGCAGAAATTTAAGAAGTTCTTTGAAAGTAATGAGAACAAAGGTACAACTTACCAGAGTTTCTGGGATGCAGCTAGTCAAGTAGTGTTGAGAGAAATTTATAGTACTAAATGCTCACATCGAGAAGTGAGAACGCGGGACAGCTGCGGTGACTCACTCTTGTAATCTCAGCACTTTTGGAGGCCAAGGCGGGCAAATTACAAGGTCAGGAGTTTGAGACCAGTCTGACCAACATGGTGAAACCCCATTCTACTAAAAATACAAAAATTAGCTGGTGTTGTGGCACATACCTGTAATCCCAGGTACTCAGGAGGCTGAGGCAGGAGAACTGCTTGAACCCAGGAGATAAATGTTGCAGTGAGCCCATATCACACCACTGCACTCCAGCCTGGTTGAGAGAACAACACTCCATCTCAAAAACAAAATTGAGATCTCAAGTTAACTACCCAACATCACAATTAAAAGAATTAGAAACCCAAGAGCAAAGAACACCCTCAAAGCTAGGGAGTGGGGAGAGAGGGCATCTTTATCTTGTGCCAATTTTTAAGGGGAATGCTTTCAGCTTTTGTCCATTCAGTATGATGCTGGCTGTGGTTTTGTCACATGTGGCTCTTATTATTTTGAGGTATGTTCCTTCAATACCTGGTTTATTGAGAGTTTTTAACACACATGAAAGTTGAATTTTATCAAAAGCTGTTTTTGCATCCATTGAGATAATCATGTGGGTAATTTTTTTCTTTAGTTCTGTTTATGTGACGATGACATTTATCAATTTGCATATGTTAAACCAAACTTGCATCTCAGGGAGGGTGGTTGTGACCAGGAATTGATCAGTTTCTTCTAGATTTCTCAATTTTTTCAGGTTCAGTGGCTCACATCTGCAATCCCAGAACTTTGGGAGGTCAAGGTGGGTTGATAACCTGAGATTGGGAGTTCAAGACCAGCTGGATCAACATGGAGAAACCCCATGTCTACTAAAAATACACAATTAACCAGGGCACATGCATGTCATCCCAGCTACTCAGGAAGCTGAGGCAGGAGAATAGCTTGAACTCAGGAGGCAGAGGTTGCACTAAGCCGAGATCTCACCATTGTCCTGCAGCCTGAGCAACAAGCACAAAACTTCATCTCAAAATTAAAGAAAAAATAGTGCCTACAGTTGTACATCATATTCTCTGAGGGTGGTTTGTATTTCTGTGGGGTCAGTGGTAATATTGCCCTTATTGTTTTTGATGGTGGTTATTTGAATCTCTTCCCTTTCTCCTTCATTGGTCTAGCTTCAAGTTTATTATTTTTTAACCAGTATGATTTTAATAGACCAGTTACTGGGTAGTAAATTGAAACATACAGAGTGCCATCTCCAAAAGCAGTCATGATTTCATTTGGGTTCTTGAAAAATGTTAAGAAGTAGGTTGAGTTTTTTTTTTTTTTTTCAAAAAACCAGCTTTTGAAAAATTTATGTGGAACCAAAAACAGCCAAGGCAACCCTAAGCAAGAAGAGCAAAGCTTGAAGCGACATGCTACCAGACTTCAAACTGCATTACAGGGCTACAGGAAACAACGGCATAGTACTGGTACAAACACAAACACATAGACTAATGGAACAGAATAGAGAATCCAGAAACAAAACCAAGCTTCTACAACTATCTGATCTTTGGCAAACTTAACAAAAACAAGCAAGGGGGGAAAGATTCTCCCTATTCAATAAACGATGCCAGGATAACTGGATAGCCATATGCAAAAGACTGAAACTAGACCCCTTCTTTACATTACATACAAAAATTTGCTCAAGATAGATTAAACACTGATATGTAAAACCAAAAACTATAAAAGCTCTGCAAGACACGAGACAATGCCATTCAAAACATAAGCACAGGCAAAGATTTCATCATGAACATGCCAAAAGAAAAGGTAACAAAAGCAAAATTGAAAACTGGGGTCAAATTAAAATGAGAAACTTTCACACAGCAAAATAAACTATCAACAGAGAAAACTGACAACCTACAGAATGTGAGAAAATGTTTGTAAACTATGCATTCAAAAAAATATAATATCAAACATCGGTAGGAAAATTAAATTTACAAGAGAAAAACAACCCATAAAAAGGTGGGCAAAGAACATAAACAGACACTTTTAAAACAAGACCTATATGCAACAAGCAATCATATTAAAAAAGCTCAACGTCACTGATTATTAGAGAAATGCAAATGAAAATTATAATAAGATACCATCTCACACCAGTCATAATGGCAATTATTAAAGCAAAAAAAAAAATAAACACATACTGGCAAGGTTAGAGAGAAAAACAACACTTACACACTGTATTCGGGAATGCAAATTAGTTCTGCCATTGTGAAAAAGTGTCATGATTCCTCAAAGACCTAAGGAGTGAAATACCATTTGATTCAGCAAACCTAGTAACGGGTTACTAGGTATGTACCCAAAGGAATATAAATCCTTCTGTTATAGAGACATGTGCATGCATATGTCCATGGCAGCACTGTTCACAATAGCAAAAATATGGAATCAAGCTAAATGCCCATCAATGGTAGACTGGATAAAGAAAATGTGGTACATATACAACAAAAAACACTAGGCAGCCACAAAAGAATGCGATCCTGTTCTCTTCAGGGACATAGATGAAGCTGGAGACTATTATTCTTAGCAAACTAATGCAGGAACACAAAATCCAAATACCAGATATTTTCACTTGCAAGTGGGAGCTAAATGAGGAGAACACAGGAACATACAACAGGCGGAAAAACAACACACACTAGAGCCTTTCAGAGAGTGGAGAATGAGAGAAGGAAGAAGATTAGGAAAAACAACTAAATGGGACTAGGCTTAATACCGGAGTAATGAAATGATCTGTACAACAAACCTCATGACAGACTTTACCTAAATAACAAACCTGTGCTTGAACATTTGGACTTAAATAAAAGTTAAAAAAAAGGCAACTTCTCAAGTTGAATAACATAACCTCCTAGGTTTAAACACATGAACACAAACTCACACCAAGGAACATTGTCTTGAAAATCTGCAATATATGACAAAGGAAAACAGCTCTCCTAAGTTTTCAGAAAAGTTTTTTAAAAAACAGTATTTACAAAGAATCAAAAATCAGAATGATTTCAGGCTTCTCAACAGCACTACCAGAAGCTGGGAAATAATGGAGTAGTATCTTTAAAACTTGAATGGGAAATTATTTTCAATCAAAAATTCTATGCCCCACCAGTCATGTAAGTGTAAGAAGAAATAAAGTCATATTTCAGAACAATTTGCTTCAGTGTATCCTTGCTTGAATAAGTTACTGGAGGATACAGTCCACAAACAAGAGATTCAGGGCACGGGGCAGTGCAAAACAACAGAGTGGGTTTGTATTTGTATTGAAAAGACAGCAGCATTCGAGAGTTAGGGAATACTGGAGGAGGAGTTTTCTCCAGCATCCCTGGAGCCCACACCTCTCATTTCCACATTCCTATGTCCCATTGCTGCCCATGAATTCTGATCACCTATTCCTTTGATAGAGGTATTTCTCTCACCGATTAGCTGTAGTCAAGTGGCTCTTTCTTGGGCTACAGGAGGAAATCTATTGCTTTTCATTAAACATCAATTGGATTAACCTAGGCTTAAGGTCAGCATTATGCCATCAGCTGTACGTTCTTGGGAAGACATCTACTCACAAACTGGTTAAAGAACGTGGCCCTCCTACCTCTGACTTGTGTGATTCTAAGCAAGCTATTTAGCACCCTCTCATCTGTGAAACAAACATAAAGTTCTTATCTTGGGCTCCACAAACAGAAAGTGTTGAACAAGAACAGTTTCTTCTCCTCCAAGGCCAGATCATATGGAGGACCCTAAGACAGCCACAGCCTTGGTCAGTAGGACAAACACAGGGTTCAAATTTCACCATTAAAATTGTGGCCAAACGTTTGCTCTGCCTCTGAATCACTCACTGTCATAAGGCTCTACCGGTTCCCATTCCAGATAGAAAGTGGGCTTTTGTTGGTTTTTGTTGTGTTTTTCAAGAGATGGAGTCACCCAGGCTGGAGTACAGTGGCATGACCATAGCTCACTGCAGCCCCAAACTCCTGAGCTCAAGTGACCTTTCTGCCATGGCCTCCTGACAGAAGCTGGGCCAACAGGGCAGCAGGTATGCATCCCCACACCCAGTAATTTTTTTTTTGAGAGATGGGGTACCGCTATGTTGCCCAGACTGCTCTCAAATTCCTGGCCTGAAGCAATTTTCCGATATTAGCCTCCTAAATTTCTAGGATTACAGGTGTGAGCCACTGTGCCCAACAGGTGTTCTTAAGTGCAATTTCCACACTGCTATTCTGAAGAAGGGCAAGAAGCAAAGAGACCCTCCTTGAAACATAGAAAATAAAAGCATTCACTATTAAGTGGAGGCAGAGTTGATGATCAGCCAAAACTACTTCAACTGTAATCCAGAAGTCCCATTGATACAGGAGTTCTAAAGAAATTATTTCGTCAGAGATTGAAAGTAAGGAAGTCTTTGGTAAGGTTTCCCTTTGAATAAAAAGCAGCCCCAAAACCATTTCTAACAAAGAGCGGCCTGTAAAATCGAGCTGCAGATATAGACAAGCGAGCTGGAAGATTGCACAGGCGAATGCCAGCAGCTGTAACAATAGGAGGCTACTTGGGTGCCAGGCATGCTCAACCTGACGGCTTCATCTTCCTTTTTCTTTATCAACCACAAGTGCAGTAAGGGACAGACAACATGCACTGGCCAAGTAGAAAACCTATATGCATAAGAAGATTCGGGTGGATAGCCAGCTTCTTCACGAGCTATGTAAAGCTCTCACCTGGTCCAACCCATATTTGGACCCTATGTAAATCAAACACCACCTCCTCAACAAGTCTATAAAACCTTGTGCAGTTCACCAGAAAACCAGAAAACACACTCAGAAGCCCCTCTCTCTCTCTGAAGAAGAGAGAGATGTTCTCTTTTCTTCTTTTGCCTGTAAAACCTCCATTCTTAACCTCACTCCATGTGTATTCACGTCCTTGATTTTCTTGACATGAGGCAATGTACCTTGGGTATTACCTCAGATGGACAATGCTGCTTCATCATAGTTCTGTTTTGTTCAGGTTGTGGGACAAACGGCTCCTTTCCTCTGCAACCTCAGCTCAACCTTACTCAGGCCTCCTTCCAGCAGAATCACAGAGCCAAATGAAACCCCTTAAGTCTTCTTTTAAATTGGCAGCCGCTCCAAAGAAAGCAGCATGATGAGTTTCAGGTGGCCCGGGGTGGGGGCAGTGCTACTCTGGCTTCTCCGTGCTCAGTCCCTCTCAGTTCAAAAGCGCACCACGTGGAGCAATAGAACACCTCCTCATCTGGGTTTTAAACATAGTGGGAAAAAAGCGCTGTCTTCATGCTTATTTCCCTGGCAGAGGGGAGGTCATAAAACACTAATTTCTAAGCAGTGGACCAGAGTTTTACTGATCTCTTCTGTTACTTCATGTTTACCCAGAGAAACCACATCACAAATCTGAGTCTCCTCTGGCAAGAGAAGGAATCGGATTCATGATTCTCTCAGCCCCCTTTCCACAGTAGAGTTCTGACTCCCCTTCTAAAATACTTTTCTGCAAGCCTCTGTACCTCATAAATGTTTTACTATACTCGAGACAGCAAAGGGAAGCACAGATTAGCTACTGTTTTCAGAACAGTGGAAACATGCTGTCTTCTCCACGTTTGGCATTGGAGTCAAAGATCAAGCGCTAAACAGTAGTTGTCAAGAATCCTTTCATTTACAATCAGGTTCTAGACTTTTCAAATGGTGTGGGCAAGAACCAGTTTGCCAGAATAGGTTATTATCTACCTCTTACCTTTATAGGACAGGACTAAAAATTCTCTTTTTTAAGACAGAGTCTTGCTCTGTTCCCGAGGCTGGAGTGCAGTGGCATGATCTCGGCTCACTACAACTTCTGCCTCTCAGGTTGAAGTGATTTTCCTGCAAGCCTCCTGAGTAGCTGGAATTACAGGGGCCCACCACTACACTCAGCTAATTTTTGAATTTTTAGTAGAGACAGGGTCTCCCCATGTTTGCCAGGGTAGTCTCCAAAGCCTGACCTTATGATCTGCCTACCTGAGCTGCCCAAAGTACTGGGATTACAGATGTGAGCCACCACGCTGGGCATTTTTTTTAATTACACTGAAGACTTTTGAAAGGGTTGTGTGTTGTATGAACTCCCTCCTCACCCAATTCTCATGGATGGGAAAAGGCTGCTGCTTCATTTTAAAGCTAATGAGCTGCCTGAACAGGAACTTCTAATTAACCATTCAAACCGATTAGCTCACGTCCCTGAAGGCTGGAGAACACGGGAACTGCTATCCCATCTGAATACAATCCAAAGGCAAAAGGCTGTGGCCAAGTTGAAATAATGGGGCAGATAGAAGCGATAAAGACTGGAGCTGGGAGTGGCCCGTACTTCAAGTTAAGCCAAACAAAGGTTGCATGTTTTATATGGGCAAAATAGGAATTCCATAATAGAGAAAACCATTGATTTTAAGGAGGACGCTGCCCTGAAAAGCTTCCTGCCAGGGGTAAGGAAGAGGCTGCCCAGGACCCCCAGAGGCAGGTGGTAGGAGGGCTCTTAGTGGCTTCCTAGAAACTGTATTACCTGAGGTAGTGAACTGCTGTCAGAGATCCCTACCAGGAGAATTTCTCAGGAACGCATGAGAAAGGGCCCAAAACTGCATGCCTGCTCCTAAAATGTGACACCATAATACAGCTGAACTATTCAATAAGGCCCTATCTGTTCCTCTGTCTCTCCTTTCTCCCTGCCCCTATCCAACCCTAGAAGAGCCAGAAAGCACTGCTAAGAAGTGAGGGTGGGTGGTCATAAACAAACACACTGCCCTCCTTTCCCTTCCCACTGTGGGTTTCTCAGGCTGAGGCTGTCACAGAGGAGGAGGGATGAAAATTGTTTTCGTTGATATTTTATCATTTATGAACGTACAGCAAAGTTGAAATAACTTTACAGTGAACACTTTAACTGTATCTTCACCAACTTGGAGTCTTGTTTTATCTCATGTCCATCCATAGATCCATCTTTCTCTCCATCCAGTAATCCATTATGGTTTTTAGGCATTTTAAAGTAAATTGCAGACATCAGTAACTCAACGTGCATTAACTACAATTTGGTATTTTTTTTTCCTTTTGGTGTAAAGTTTACAAATGATGAAATGCAAAAATTTTAAGTATGTATTTACCGAATTTTGACAAAAGTATACATATGTGTAACCCAAAACTCTATAAATAAAGAACATTACTATAATCCCTGATATGGTTTGGCTGTGTCCTCACCCAAATCTCTTCTTGAATTGTAGCTCCCAGAATTCCCACGTGTTGTGGGAGGGACCTGGTGGGAGAGAATTTAATCATGGTGACAGTTTCCCCCATACTGTTCTTGTGATAGTGAATAAGTCTCACAAGAGCTGATCTATAAGAGGAAAGCCCTTTTGCTTGTTTCTCATTTGTCTCTTGTCTGCCACCATGTAAGATGTCCCTTTGACTTTCTGCCGTGATGATGAGGCCTCCCCAGCCAGGTGCAACTGTGAGTCCCTTAA